ACTACTAGACACCGCACACGCACACGCACACCGCACAGACACTAATCACCTGGTTTGAATTCAAAGGCTTCGCGCCGGGTCGCAAGCGATCATCGTGGGATCGAACACGGCGCTGAAGGACAGGCCGCGGCTCAACGTGCGAGGCGTGGCCGGCGCCGAGACCGTGACGCCGCTGCGGGTCGCGCTCGACTCGACCGGCAAGATCGTCGACGGCCCGCTGCTCGACGTCTCCCTGGGCTCGACGCTCATCTTCACCTCCGAACGCGTCAAGGCCGACGTGGCCCAGCTGTGGCGCGACCGGGGCGTCGAGGTGGTCCGGGTGGGCGAAAAGGTGGTCGGCCAGGGCCTGGACCTCGACGCGGTGCTCACCGCGCTGGCCCAGAGGGGCATTCTCCAGGTGTTGATCGAGGGCGGCGGCAAGCTCCAGAGCCGATTCCTCGCCGAGGACCGGGCCGACAAGGTGGTCCTCTACTACGGAGCTCGCTTCCTTGGCTCTGGTATCACTCCCACCTTGACTGTGTGTCGTGTCGTGTCGTACGAATGGTGGCTAACACGCCAGCGACACACCAGGCGGGCTGCCGTGGGCGCAGGAGAAGGGCTTCAACGCGGACACGATCGCCACGGTGCGATCCTGGCAGCTGGAGCGGGTACAGCAATTCGGCAACGACGTGTGCCTCGAATACGTCAAACCGAGCCACCACCACTAGCCACCACCCTCTCTCCTCCTCTGAACATAGTCAGCTCACAGAGTAATTAAAGGTTTCATGCATTTGTCTAGACACGGGCTCGACCTGCGGGTATTGTCGAGTTGATCCATGGCCACCTCTTGCTTTCATCTTCTTTTACTTCTTCTTCTTCTTCTTCTTTAGGCGTCGCTGCTGGGGTCGTACTGGTACACATAGTCGGACGTGCCGCCGTGCTCCGGCAGCAGGCAGTCCTCGTCAAAGTACTCCCTCAGCTCCTCCTTGCCGTTGCCCGACAGCAGCTTGACCTAAGTGTCCCAAGTTAGCGTGTGCGGTGGTGTGCGTGTGCGGCGCGGTGCGTGTGCGTACCTTGGCCATGGTCTGTTTGGTCATCACGGCGTAGAGGAGCTTCATCAGGGTGCTGACGAGCCACGGCGTGTTGATGAGGTACGCGGCACCGAGCAGTTCGGGGTACACGTCCTGCAGCTTCGAAAGCTGTTGATCGCCGCGTGAGCTTATTTCTATTTTTTTAAACAATAAAATAGTATATTATAAATATTATTAACAAAATATGATGAAGTTTAAAAGTGGTGCTAAACCGAACCTTTCGGATGGCCTCCACGTCCATGTTCTTGGTGAACGAGAAGTCCTTCATGTCGTAGATGAGCACGTATTGCGAAGGTCCTCCCTCGTTTATCACCCTGTTGGTTTTATATAGACAAGAGCACAGAGACATACTTCATGTGAGCACCAACCATCAAGTAGACGACAACAATGACAACGTTGACGAACAGGTGCGCGTACTTGTTTCGGGCGCTTTCGAGGAAGTAGACGCAGGCCTGGTAGGTGCACTCGAGGGTGGTCTTGCCGGGGAAGTGTTGGCGCGGGAAGACCACGACGCACGGCCGGCCCTGCTTGTCGTGCTTGTGCCAGTAGACCAGGCCCGACTTGAGCACCGACTCGAAGCTGGCCTTCTGCAGCCGCATCTCCTCCGGCTTGTTCTCAGCTCGCCATTCCTGAAATAAGTTTTAATTACATTTATTCATTATTCATAAATTAAATTGAATAAAACATTAAATAATAAATGATAAATGATAAATAATATTTGAATTGTTACCATACACACGGGATGGGGGAGGGTGAGGGTGTAGTACGATGGTGGTCTTGAGGATGGCGATGGATTCGTCGAGTGTGGATCGCGCCCGCACGTAGCGCAGGAGCATGGTGTCGTTCAAGTTCTTGACGAACTCGCTGTCCGGAAATGCCGCCCTTAGCGTCACCACCGCCTGACGAGAGAGAAGACAGAGCAAAACCGCAATTAATCGCAAAGCGCCTCTATTTTTTATTTTGATTTAATCAATAAATAGCAAACACAGTACTTATTGTTTTTTAATGTTGGGGATTTGTTATTTATTAAGTTAAATCTTGTAAATGTTCAGAGCCAGAGGGCAGTACCTCTTCTTCCTGAGGAGTTGTGACGGCATACCCAGTCTTCTCGACCTCACGAGGTGTAGTCGTGCTGGTCGTTGTCGTCACCTCCACCGCCTGATCTTCTTGGTACGCTTGCATTCTTCTTTGTTTGTTCTTCTTTGGTGGTTGTTGTCCCTTCCTCTTCTCTTCTTGTCTCCTTTGTCCGATTTCAAACTAAACTGTCGTTGAGGTCGCGCCTGCGCCGTTTGGCTGTGGTGTGTGCAGTTCGTTTTGTGTGAAAAAATCGATTCTGTGCCGTTCTGGCCGTGGCTCTCTTTGTGTGGACGTGTCGTAGTCGTTCGGCGACTTGTGTGTCGTGTGTTCGAGGAAAGGGCCGATTTTCCAACCATTGGTATGGAATTTTCGGCCCACTCCCGACAAGAGGAAATTACCTCGGGGCTTTTAATGTGAGATCCTGAGTTGCGCCAAAGCTGTTGGCCCTGAGTCGGTGGTGGTTGATGATCATCAACCACAGCACTGCAACGCAGGTGATCCTATACACATGGCCATGTGCTGCTATCCTGGACAGCTGTCCTGGACAGTATTGTTTACCAACCAACTGGACAGACTGGAGCAAGACCAGAGGACAAGCATTCACCTTGACGAAGCGAGTCGCGCGTGCTTCTCAACGTGGGCGGCCAGCTCTTCGTGACCTCGCTCGACACCCTACGCTCCCGCGAGCCGGGCTCCTTCCTGGCCGCCATGTTCTCTGGCGAGTGGAAGACTGACGACCAGGGCGCCTTCTACATCGACAGGTGCCCCTCTTGTTGTTGTTTTCGCACAGGCACGCATGGAAGTGCTTCCCGTCCCTCTGCTTGGCCTCGTCCAGCGGCCACACCAGCTCCCCGGTGCGCAGGTACTCCTTGCTCTTCAAGAAGGCTGGAAGGAGGAGTACGATTACCGCAAGGCGCTCGAAGAGATTGGTAAAATGGCAAAAGGGACTCACCAGCTGTGATGTGGAAATGAAGATGCCACAAACTATTTGCGGCGTGGCGTGGCGTGAAAGAAGAGGTGTCGATGGCGTGCCGTCTCTTGAGAGGCCTCCTCCCTACTCGATGACCATGTTGCCGTTGTTGAGGATCGTGCGCAGCGTCTCTCTCAGCGCCGGGTTGAGTCCCTCGTCAAAGTGGAGCTCCGTGATCTTCAACGAGGAGCTGAGCATATCGTTCATTTTCCTGCGGCCATGCACACCGAGCAAGAGAGAGTCAGACCAAGGTTGAGGCCTCTCAGCCAGACGTGTTGATGGCGGTCAATGCGCGTGCGCACATCAGGCAAGCCGGACCGCATACCTGTCGAATACCATGACGAGTTCCCACTTGAACCAGAACTGCTTTTCATCGGGCTTGACCGAAACTGTGAGTGAGTGAGTGAGTGAAGGCGCAGACATGAGGGAAGTGGTGGTAGGGTGGTACGTACCGAGCGGCAGCTCTCGCCTACTATGTGTGATGGTGACCGTGTCCGGCTCGATGACGATCCGTATCTTCCAGCCGTCTGGGCTCGTGTCGTCCTGCGCGTCACGAGAAGAGACGTGCGGGACGGCCAGCAGCATGTTACGATCGTGGCCTGACTGATAAAATGCAGCATTCAGCTGAGTGAAGTGCGCGATGGATGGTACCTTGGTCATGACATGCGACTTGGTGATCTCAGTCTTCAGAATAATGATGGGGATGAAGATCACACTCTGGTTGATCATCTTGAACACCCGCGCCGTTTTCGAGTCCTGACCAATAGACTGCGCGTGAAAGAGGAAGAGAAGGAGGTCTGAGCCTCAGCCCATATGGCTGATCGAAAGGAAAACAGCACATGGCAGGCCACGAGGAGAATGAACGCGGTTCGGGCTCGATATCGAACCTCTGCAAAGAGGGAGCTCATCGACAACTCCATGTCTCCCGTATAGTTGGCTCTGACCATCTCCTCCAACCTGGCACCACCCAACCACAGCCATGAGGCGCTATCTTGTGTGTGTGTGTGTGTGTGTGTGTGTGTGTGTGTGTGTGTGTGTGTGTGTGTGTGTTGCACGCAAAGGAGTTGCGCGCGCACCCTTCCTGGATCTGCTTCAGCTTTGCCTTGTCCTCCATGTGCTGAGCGACCTTGACGATGACTTGCTGTATGACCTCGAGCTGGCTCAGTTCCATCTCCTCCGGCGCCTTCTTCTCAGCGTCCTTGAGGAAGTGCTCGGTCGATTGGAACAGAATGTTGGCCCGGGTCCTAATTGTTATCACCGCCGCCGCAGACGAGTGGTGAGTGCCTCAATGGCCGAATAGTTGAGAGACTAGGTGGTGGTGGAGAGGAGGACGCACGCGCAGGTCGCGCTGCGATACGCCGACGTTGTTGAGGAAGCGCAGCGTGGCCTTGTCCACCGACGGCGGCGCGGTGATGGTGCCGAGCGATTGCTGGAGCTCTTCCCTCTTTCGCCCGTACTCTTCCAGGGCCGACAGAAAGGCGGTGCTGTCCGTCCTCATGTTGAACGCAACGCCCGCATACCCCTCCGTGCCACCTAAACACAACGCCCACCAACGTTAGTTTGGTGTGCGGTGTGCGGTGTGCGGTGTGCGGTGTGCGGTGTGCGGTGTGCGGTGTGCGGTGTGCGGTGTGCGGTGTGCGGTGTGCGGTGTGCGGTGTGCGGTGTGCGGTGTGCGGTGTGCGGTGTGCGGTGTGCGGTGTGCGGTGTGCGGTGTGCGGTGTGCGGTGTGCGGTGGTGTGGATGTGTGTGTGGTGAGCGGGTGCACCCGCTGAGCGCCGGAGCAGGGCGTACCGGTCAACGACTGGATGACAAAGTAGCGCGTCGAGTCGGACACGGTGAACACCTGCGAGATGGGCACAGAGTACAGGAGGCGACCGTCCTCGCGCACGTCGACGAAGGGTATGTGCGACGTGCGCGTTGGCCTGTCCTCCAGTGCGATCGAGAGCGTCCCTGTCCGCCACTGCTCGCTCCACGCTCGAGCTCTGATCGCGAAGCCACAACTGAGCACACGCACGCTGCGCCGTTATAAGCGGCAATCGAGTGACGGTACCTGAACCGGTCGTCATCTTCTGGCAGGTTGGTGTTGAGCCACACCTCGAACACTTCCGTGCGCACCTCCGTCTCTTGTGGCGCGGTGCTCTGTCTGGGCGACCCCACGACCTCGGGCTCGTTCACGACCACTTCTATCCGCCGTATGAGTCCTGCACGACGAGCGCCCCCAAGCCACCACGGATCAGATCGTGAGATTCAGTAATCTTGATCGGGGCCATTGCAGAAGATGGGGCTGGTTGCAGTACGTGGTATGTCCTTGTAGACGGGGAGCTGTGTGATGGGGGTGCGCCATAGGTGCAGCAGCTTCTCTTCCAGACCGAACGATGCCTTGCGGGCGCCGGCGGCAGGAAGTGCCGAGGGGGGCAGCCCCTTCGCTTTTTCATCTTTGGTGCCTTTCTTCTTGGACTTGGTCGCCCTCCGTTTCGAGAACATGTTGTGCCGTGGAGGAGTTCTTCTTGTAATTTAAAGGGCTCTCAATCTCTCTTCTATCAATGAAATGGGCCAGTTCAATCCAATCGTGTAAAAGAAAAAACCGTCTCTTGCTGTTGTCCCAGAGGGTGGCCAGTTATTTCCCCCCATCAAGCGTGTAGCGCTCCTCTCGTGTGAGGGAAGATGCACTATCTCCCCTCGATCGTCTTGTCGTCTCATCTTCTTCGTCCGTCTTGCCCTTTCGTCCTCCTCCTATCCGTACAACTCTGTGTGCGTGGAGAACTGTTGATATGTTGTGTGGTTAGTAGAAGACAACGTCACTGAAGGGGGACTGATCAAGGTGAAGTCGTTACCATCATCAGACGTCTTAGCCTTCGTGTGGCCGGCCCAGCGAGGAGGGCGTGGCCACGGAGCAGCGGTGCGAGGAGAGCGAGGCGCCAGCGGACCGACGAGCAGCGCCGCCGTCCGCGCCCCACATGGGCGAGCGCGAACCCGGCGAGAAGATGGGCGAAGAAGGCGGTGACGGCAACGGCGACGGCGGACGATCATCGGTGACGGCGCCCTCGACGTCGACATCGGTCTTGCCGCCGTTCTCCTCCGCGGTGACCACCACGCCCAAGGCGGCGGGCGTCGGCGGGAGAGGCTTCTGGGGGGTCGACCCGCGGGCGCTGCCGAGGAGGAGGTGAGTGGCGCCGGCGGGCCTGCGCTCGGATTTACCACCCGCGAGCACGTCCTTGAGCGACGTTGAGCGCAAACGCGATTTGGCTGCGGCCTTGGCCATCGCTTCCGCATCCTCATCGTCGTTGTCGTTGTCAGCGGCGGCGCCGGCGCCGGCAGAGCCAACGGCTTCAGGCTTGAGGCCTTTCGCATCTCCGAGCGCGCCCTCGGACCCCTTGGGTAGTGTGGTGCCGCTTAGCTGTTGATCCGTGGTGCCGTCCCGTCGCCCGATGTTGACGCCCGTGTTGCCGTTGCTGGAATCCTCCGAATGTCGAGCCTTGGCGTAGACTGTGACCGGACGTCGGTGCTTCTTGCCACTCGCCGACAAATCCGCCGACAACGACGACGCCAGCGCTGACGACACGCGACCGCCTTGGGTCTCTCCGTTCGCCCCGTTCGCGTCCTTGTCGCTCGGCGTTCTTTCCGACTTCGCTCTCACGTCTCCCGTCTTAATTTCACTCTTGTCGCTCGCCTCCTGTTCGTCGTCGCTCGGCGTCGGCTTGGTGTCCTTCTTGCGGCGGCGGATGGAGCTTCCACTGCCGTCGCTCGCCTTCTTGAGCTTGCTCAGCTTCTTCCTGATGGCCCGCATCGAGCCCTTCTTCTTGAGCGCCTTCTCCGGCGGCCGCGTACTCGGGGCGCCCTTCTCTTCCTTCTCTTCCACCGCCCCTTTGGCCTTCTCCTCCGCGCTGCCGTCGCCTTTCTCTGTGCTCCCCTCATCACCTTCGCTCTTCTTTCTCTCTTTCGCTTCCGTCCCGGTCGCTTCGACTTCGCTCTTTGACGATGCCGCTTCGTTCTTCTTTTTCTCTTTCTCTTTCTCCTTTTCGCGCTGTCGCACGACCTCCGAGCCGCCCGTCTTCGGCACCGATTCCGGCACCGCGTCCGACGAGGTGCTGCGTTCGAGATCGCCCTGTCCGCAGCTGCTGCTTTCGTCATCGTCGCCGTCACTGTCATTGTCCTCCTCCAGCTCCTCGTCGGTCTCCGCGTCCGTGTCCGCGTTGCTCTCTTCTTGGTCCTCGTCGTTCACCACAAGGAGGCTCTCGTGTCTCGAGCGTATGCGTTCCGAGGTCTGGTTGAATATACAAAGATTGAGGTTTTTATAATTCTAGATCAACATGTAGACCTCGTCTGGACAAGTTGTATCGCAAGTAATACTGTACTACACTTATTGTAACACTATACAAAGAAAAACCACTGCGCATCTGCTGTAGCAGGCGTGGTCCGGTAATAAGAATATGTAGAAATTTAAAAAAATATAGAAATATAAAACAAGACAAAAGGTAGCACAAATTGAAGGCGTGTGGACGGGTACGTACGATCTTCTGGAAAAATTGTTCGTAAGTGGCGGTGATCGCCGCATCCTCCTCGCCGTAAAGCTGGGCCATGTGCTCCTCCACCTCCTCCATGATGACGATCACCCCAAACTCGTCGCGCTCAATCGAGTCCCGGAATCTGAACAATATTAGTATTGAGGCGAGTGAGCGAGTGGTAAGGCGCAACGAGAAGAGAAGGAAAGAAGCGGAAAAGTTTGGCCAAGAAGGAGAGTACCGCTTGGGCTTGTGGTAGATGTCGAGGTCGCCCTTCTTGAGTATGAGCCCGCCCTGTTCCAGCTCGACAAAGGCCGTGTGGAAGGAGAATCGAAACATACTCTGCTCGAACTTCTTCTTCGACCCCTCCTTCGTCTTGTCGAGCACCTTTTCCTTGTTCTCCTTGAGGTGGTAGAACTTGATCAGCACGTCGCCCTTTACCATGCAATCCACGTCCCAGATGATCGACGACGACTCTTCCGCAGCATTGTAAAACCTGTGCACAGTGTGTGCGTGTGCGCGCATGTGTTGCGAATTAGAATGGAACAGAGGGAAGCACGGGTACGCAATCTGTGAAGAACTGGGGCTGTACTTTGTCTGCGTGCCGTAGCGTGTCGTGTGTACGAGCTGTCGCGGCATTGACCGCGTGTGGTAGATATTGACATAGGGGCGGCAACCTTGCTTCGTCCAACACGGCACTGCGGTCATCACTGCACGTGTGTACGTACACACGGGCAAGGCAACGACGCGAATTAGCGTGAGTAGTTGCATGATGTAATGAGAAGGCAGTGGCGCGCCGGCGCCGGCGCAAGCGTACCAACTCGCCGGATTCGAAGCACCTTGGGATGCGGTCGCACGGTGTTGCGCAAAATGTTCTGGAAATAGGTAACATAACTGAGGATCGCGCAGGCCATAACGTCAGTTTTAGAAGTGCTTGCTAGAGCTCGCTCTGCGAGGCAGGAGGGAGGGGGCAGCTGCCTGGCGTTAGACGAACCGTTTCTGTGAGGTCTGCGTGACGCCGCGTTCCTTCATGGAACGCATGTAGGCAAAATGGAGCAGGGCTTCTTGCGGATCGGCAAAGTAGCCCGTGAAGATGAGGTAGCAACTGATCACCGTGCCCGTGCGACCTGCCCGAGAGAGAGAAAGGGAAAGGCGCCAAGGAGCACGCACCGCCGGAACGCACACGCACGACCCACGGCATCACATCACGACAGAACCTGTGGCATGAGACTCAGAGCCAACCTTGGTGATGAGTGGAGCCAAAACGCACCCTTGCCGCCGACGCAGTGGATGACGGCAACGTGCTCGGGGGAGGCGCTGAGCCAGTTGTCCATGGAGACGATGATTTGAAAGAGAAGGTCGAGCGGTGGCGAGTGGTGGTCGGGAAACCCAAAGTTGAGCACTTGGTGGTTGAACTTGGAGTAGTCGTACAACCGGCCACTGCGTAGCGTGCGCGGTATTCTGCCCAGTAAGCGGGAGACCAACGAAGAGGGGAGAAGAAGGAGGGAAGATGAACCAACCTGAGGTTCCAGATCATGTAGTTGTTTTTGTGGTAAGTGTGCAACATGCGAGACACTTCGTCGATGTCGTTTCGGTAGGTGGCCTCGATCCCCGTAGCCGGAAAGGCCATCGCTTTCGAAAAAGAAAAAATATATAAATATTAAAACTAATAAATGGCTGCAGAATCGCAAGCGAGTATTGGGGGGGGGTACCAATGAGGTTGTTGGTGATGTAGGACAAGTCGAGATTGTGCTTTTTGTCATTGAATCGGATGCGATCTTTGGAGACCGCGACCCGGACCTTCTTTTTGAGATTCATCGTCTCCTCCTTCTGCAAGAAAAATTGGCAGACGCTAGCCAACAAATTAATTGCAAAATTAGAGCGAACAAGGAATAATTGAAAGTGTGTTGGTGCTCGCTAACTCAACCAAAAGTGGTCTTGCATTTCCGCAATAAAGAGCCACTGAGCAAAAAGCTTTGATTATCTGGTTTATTGAATAATGGTTGGTCGCGATCGAGATGCGAGTTTTCTCGAAGCTTCACCGCCATCTTCACGACCAGCCAATCAACAATTGGCATTGGGTTTGGTGAGTTTTGCGTCAGCCTGCGCAGACACCGGCAAAGGAGCGAAGATCAAAAAGAAGGAACCGAATCAAACAGAGATATAATGAGGCGCTGCATCACTTCCTCCACCCTGAGGGGTTCGTTCTCTTCCCGAGCCATCTCGTCCGCGAGGTATTAATCCCTCGGCCTCTACCTCCGCATTCTTTTCATCGTCCGCTTGTCGCTCAATTACGCCCCTTATCAACAATTGACCCATTTTCTGCCTCAGATCCCTCGCTGCCCCTGCCCACGCTCACGCTTCGGCTCAGCCCGACGCCTCGGTGTACCGCTCCAAGCAGGGAGGCTCTTTCGAGGAGGCCCTCGACATCAATGTTGTTGATGTTGAGGATCTCTTCAATCCCGCTTCCGGCTACTGGGAGAACCCCGCCAACTGGAACGACATGGACTACGTGTGGAAGCTCAAGGTCGAGAGGCTTCAGCAGGAGTACGTCGCTCAACGATCCCCCAACAAATCGGACGATTTTCAGCGTCACCGGAATTTGCCCCCCCCCTGTATTAATCGATCGCCTTCAGGTTGAACATCCCTGCCGAGCAGGCTGCCAAGTTCCGCAAGGAGCACGACATCTCGAAGGGCTACCTCACCCTCGAATGGATCCTCCCCTCGCCCCCTCCTGAGCACACCTTCGAGGAGCTCCCCATCCTCAAGGAGACCGAGGAGGAGCCCGCCACCTCGTTTGAGGCCCGTGCTGCCAGATTGCTGGAGAGCGCCCACAAGGCCAAGACCGTGAGTGCTGAGCACACCCAGACCTTCGAATCGCTCGCCAAGGAGTTCAGCTTCAGCGACAGGGAGAAGACCGCCTTCAAGGAGCTGCTCAACCGTTATGCCAAGGGTCAGACGCCCAGCTTCCCCAATGAGTATGAGGAGCATGCTCACGATGAGCACCACTAGGCCCTGTACTCCTTGCGTTCTCATCTCAGTTAATTATTGTTCAAAACCACATCATCGGCAAATTTCATCGACCCACTCGCATGTACCGCGGAGTGCAGCTGCCTGCTGGTGCGCGAGCACTCGTGCACGTTTCCTTTCTTCCTGTTTTCATTTAGAGTTTTGATTCGAAGATGGAAGCAGAGCAGGTGCCGTCGCCCCTGGTGCTGTGGGGGTCCATCTACACCATGAACCCCAGCGCACCCTGGGCTGAGGCTGTGGTGGTCCTCGAAGGGCGCATTGCCTTCGTCGGCTCAAAGGCACCCCCCCCCCACCAAGCCTTCAATCTTGCAGCTTGATCATCCGTTGATGGCCACTCGTGCGTGCAGGAGGGATCGCGAGAGTATCTCACCGCCGACGCCAAGGTCATCGACGTGTCCTCTTTGCCAGGTAAAGCTTGAGTGCTCCTTGCTCGTGCCCGTGAAGTGCCGTACTGACTGAGCGTGCTGCGGCAACATCAACGACAGAGGGCGGCCTCATTCTGCCCGGCTTCCAGGACGCTCACGTCCACCCGCTCAGCGGAATGATCATCGAACAGAGCTGTGACATGGCTCGCTGCGGCGGGCTCGAACCGGCGCTTGCTTTGGTTCGCTCTCACATCTCCCACTACATCTCTCATCTGGGGCGCAACGGACGGGCGTATTCACCCTCGCCGGTTCTTCCAGGTTGAGGAGTACGCTGCGGACCACCCGGAGATGGAGTGGATTGTGGGCGGCGGGTGGGACATGTCGTGGTTCCCCGACGGGCTCTCCCTGGCCAGCGTGCTCGATCGGGTGATGGCCGACCGACCAGCCGTGTTCAGACGCGTCGACGGACACGCCGTGGTAAGCCACCGCCACCACCACCCCGCTCGTGTTGCCACCATCGCGTGCTATCTCATCACACACGCCATGCCACGCACGCCACGCAGTGGGCCAACACTGCAGCGATGCAAGCGATCGATGTGTACCACAAGGACTTCCCAGATCCGCCCCACGGTCGGATCGACAAGGATCCACACACCGGACTGCCGATCGGCTCTTTCCAGGAGCAGGTGATGCCTTTTCGCCTTTGTTCTCTCTCTCTCTCTCTCTCTCTCTCTCGCCCTATACCAGTCACTGACTCACCTTGTGATGAATCAATCGCGCTATAGGCCGGAGATCTGTTTCAAAAGCACATTCCGCCGCTCCCCATGGCGGCCCGAGTCGAGGCGCTGGAGCTCGGCATGAAGCGCATGGCCAGCCTCGGCATTACTGCGTTCCAGGTTCCCCTCTCCTTGCGACCAACATCGTTTGTTTCTTTCTTTTCTCCTTCCGCTTTTCTTCTTTCCTGACCTCCCGCCGTCGTGTTTGTAGGACGCGTTGATTCGAGGACCCAACATTCACGCCTACGAGGAAGCGATTCGAGATCCGAAGCGGTTCCCGCTCAAGTGCTCCGTGTGCCTGTGGTGGGACTTCCACCACGCCGAGGGCACGTCGTGACCAAAAGTGCACCCACGCAAGTCGCCTCGAGTTGGCTGACTCTTGTGTGTCTCATCCAGATGATGGCGCGAACGTGCAAAAGCAAGTGGAGGACCAGATGCTGCAGATGAAAGCGCACAGGCATCACCACCACCTTTTCTCATTTGTGATGCACGTCGTGTGGCGTTCTTCTGACAGACTTTAGTGCGTGCCTTCTCCAGGAGCGACTACGCCAAGCTGATCGAAAAGACCGACAACAAGCTCGTGCGCGTGAACACCATCAAGCTCATGCTCGATGGCGTGATGGAAACCAAAACCGGTAAGCCCAAAAGCTATCGGCGGTTTTGCTTACGAACTCACCAACCTCTTCGTATGCCGTTTTGTTTGTTTTGTGTTTGTTTTGTTTGATTTTAGCCTACCTTCATGAACCGTACTGCAGCTGCCACGTGAAGTCGGGCGAGGCTCACAAGAGCCACGAGGCCGACCATCGAGGCATCACCAATTTTCCCAGGGACTACCTCCACATGGTGACCGCTGCCGCCGACAACGCCGGATTCCAGATTCACGTACCCACACCACTTACATTATATATTTTCTCTAATACATTTCACGTATTATTAATGTTTTATTAATATTTCAGGCCTCAATTTGTTTCTGTTTTATTTTAAATAATTAATTTTGCTTTCTTGGCGGCCGCTCTAGTGCCATTCGATCGGCGACAATGCGCTCTCGGACGTGTTGGACGCGTTCGAACAGATCAAGAAGGAGCGCGAGGCGCGGGGCGAGTGGGAGGGCTGCGACCTGCGGCATCAGGTGGCCCATCTGCAGGTCGTGCGACCGGTCGACGTCCCGCGATTCAAGGCGCTCGACGTCATCGCCAACTTCCAGCCCTACTGGTCGTTCAAGGACACGTGGATGATCGTGGCCTATGCAGCACCTCCAGGAAAGGAGCGCCTGGCAGTACCCCATACGTGAGGTTCTCGACACCGGCGCGCACGTCTGTTTTGGAAGGTACTCTATGCCCGTGTGCGGTGTGTGCGGTGTGTGCGGTGTGTGCGGTGTGTGCGTGTTCACTAAGCTCAGTGGCTGACTCGCGAGTCTTGGGTGCATGATCCAAGCGATTGGTTCGTGTCTTCGCTGAATCCGCTCGACGGCATCGAGGTGGCCATCACCCACCTGCCTCTGGGCACCAAGCCGGACAGCGAGGAGGCCAAGGACCCGCTCAATCCGCATCAGCGCATCACCCTCGAGCAGGCCCTGCGTGCCTACACCCTCGGTACGTGTGTGCTGTGTGTGTGTCGTGTGTTTGTGTGCCGTGTGCGCACTCGGGTTGGCTGACTGGGGCATGACACACAAAGGCTCGGCCTACGCCGGCTTTCTGGACAAGGAGACGGGCAGCATCGAGGTGGGCAAGGCGGCCGACATCATCGTGCTGGACAAGAACCTGTTCGAGATCCCGACGCACGACATCCACACAGCCAAGGTCACCCACACCTTTGTAGACGGAGCGCTGGTCTACGCCGCTTCTTCGTCTTAACCACCAGTCACAGCACGGTCGACATTTATTGTGGTTGGCTGTCCAGGACAGCCAGTTGGCCAACCCAAAGGTTCGGTTTTGTTGGCAACTAGTGTGTAACAAACCGCACAGAAGAAGAAGAACAGAACAGAACCAACCCAAGACTCTTACTCTCAACCAGAACCAAACCGACCCATAAGAAGTACCAAGTAGTAGCCAACACATACATGAGGAACCACAACAACGCAGGCCTGATCTCCATCGTCGCCCTGGTCGTTCTTTTGCTGTTGTCCGCCTCGGTTCGCCAGGCTTCGGCTGGACCCGGGCTCTACGGCGTCTGCCAGGCTGGCTGCTGCGCGCTGGCCGTCTCGTGCTACTCGGCCGCCGGCTTCACCTTCGGCACTGTGACCGCAGGCGCAGGCGTACCGGCTGCGATCCTGGCCTGCAACGCTGCTCTCGGGGTATGCAGCGCCAAGTGCGCTGCAGTCACCCTCTTCGTCCCCACTCTCTGATGTCTGCACCGTGGCCAGGGCCTCTCACCCACACGCGGGCCAGAACTGTTAATAAAAGTTTGCTGTTTTCTTTTGATTTGATAGATTGATTTTCAACAAAGCAACTGTGATGGAGTGGTGGGCTCTCGCTCTCGTGGTGGCCGTTGTGGTGGTCGTCCTTATGGTGGCGCTGCACTACGCGACCGCACCCGCACGCTACGCTCCGGCTGGCAAGCACGTCCTCATCACTGGTGCCGCCAAACTGCCAAATTGAAATCAACTCTTTTCGATGATGAAACATTAATGCTCCATCAGGCGGCAGCAGCGGCATCGGCAAGGCCACCGCCATTCGCCTGGCCCGCCTCGGCGCCAACATCACCATCCTCGCCCGCACCCGTTCAACGTGCGTCTCACCCTTCATTTATTTATGATTTAAATTATTTATAAATCATAAATAATTTAAATCAACCCTAAATAAACATAATAGTTATTAATTATTTAATGTGCTTTGGGCTGGGCCAGGCTGGAGGCGGCGGCAGAGGAGATCAGGGCCGAGCGCCAGGACGCGCAGAAGCAGTTCGTGGAGGTCCTCTCCGTCGACGTCGCCGACGACGCCCAAGTTCAGCGCGAGATCGCCCGCCACATCGAACAGTGCGCTTCCCTTCTTCTTTCCACCGCACGCATCGCACACGCACTATCGCACACCGCACACGCACACCGCATGCACCGCACGCGCGCTTGCTGATGTTGCGAGTGGTGCGTGGTGCGTGGCTTGTGAAGGTTCGGTCCGGTGGACGTGCTGATCACGAGCGCGGGAGCGACGCGGCCCACCCACTTCGACGAGATTGACGTGGCCACCTTCCGCCAGCTCATGGACATCAACTACCTCGGCACCGTCTCCTGCGTCAAGGCCGTCCTGCCTCATATGTACGCCCATCAAAGACACGACACGACACGACACACACGACACACATGACACACACGACACACGACACCGCACACGCGGGCATGGGCTGATGATGGCGGTGGGGACGGTGCGAAGGAAGGAGAGGAGGGCCGGCAGGATCATCTTCATCAGTTCGATGGCGGGGCTGTCGGCGACCTTTGGCTACGCGGCCTACGCGCCCACCAAGTGGGCGCTCAAGGGACTCGCCCAGTCGCTCTCGCAGGAGCTCCTCCCCTACAACATCTGGCTGTCGCTCTGGTATGTCACACATCGCACACGCACACACCGCACACGCGCATGACACACGCCTCACGCACACGACACACGCAGTTATCCGCCGGACACGGACACGCCGATGTTGCGCGAGGAGAACACGTACAAGCCGCCCATCGCCAAGGTCATCTCCGAGAGCGGCGGTGTGGTGCCGCCGGACGACGTGGCCAAGGGCATCGTCGCGGGCCTCATCAACTACCGATTCGAGATGTTCGCCAACTTTGACGGCGAGGCGCTCGGTACCGCGTGGCCCACCACTCGCCCGGCGAGCTTTCGTCTGCTCATATCCGCTGACCACACAACACAACACAACGACGCTCGCGCAGGTCTGGTGTCGAGTGGCTTCAACCCGCCGGACACGCTGTTCCGTCTGCTGCTGGAGATGGTCTCGATGCCGATCATGCGGGCCGTGGCCGTGGGCTACCACCTCAACTGGAACCGCCTCATCCGCAACCACTTCAACGCCGAGCACGCCCCCAACAAAGACAAACGTGCATAGCTCCCACCCCACCCACCCATGTTGGTTGCAATGACAACAAAGATAGCCTTCAACCCACATCGCGTGCTGTCGTGTCGTGTCGTGTCGGGCGCTCGCCAAGGACCATTGCTTGGGGACAACGCAGCACGTGCGCACTGAGCGGGCGATGAAGGTCTTCTTTCTTTTTGTTTCGTTCTTCTTCAAGAAGAAGCGGGAGGGGTCTGCTTCTTCTTGAAGGCGGCCTTGATGACGTCGGCGTCGGTGTCCGCATCGTACTCGGCCACCCGCTCCGGTTGGCGGCTGTGCCGTCGTGGCGGCCACGTCTTGTAGGCCAGCTCCACCTCGCCCAGGAACGAGTAGAAATTCTGGAACACACGCGATCTCATCTGTGCGTGTGCGTGTGCGGTGGTGCGTGTGCGTGTGCGTGTGCGTGTGCGGTGGTGCGTGTGCGTCGTCCCAGCAGCGAGTATCAGTTGAAAGTGTTCATGCGAGCCCGCGTAGAAAGGCCGGCGGGGGCAGTACCACATCGCCCTTGCCTCGCCACTTGGGCACGCCGTGGTCGTAGTGAATCACAAAGACCTCGGGGAGGCCGAAGAAGCGGTAGCCGGCGATGTTGAGCTCCGTGGCCTGCGCCACCTTGTCGTAGCCGTAGCCGATGAACCGCTCATCATACCTACAGCCGCCCTCCGATCAGTCGAAGAAGAGGGGCAAAGGTGGGGGAGGGGCATGGCATCGTACAGGGGCACGGAGTCGCGTGGGACCATCATGTAGGGCTCGTACTCGGGCCGGAAGGTGATCTCGTAGGGCTCGGAGCTGTTCATCCACGCGGTGTAGTTGGTGGGCGCGTGGGCGGGGGCCCACTTGACCTCGTGCACCTGCCGTATCAGGTCCCGGCGGGACATCTCCACCAGCTCCTTCCTCGAGTCTGGCAATGGCACCTGCGCCGCACAACACGCACACGCACGACCGCACACGCACACGCACACGCACACGGCCACGACGTGTCGGCGCGGCGTGACCGAGGAAGGGCGATCGGTTGGTACGGACCCCAGGCTCGATCTCGAAGGCGGGTACGACCCAGACGACGCCGGGGCTGTCCGGCTCTTGAGCGCCTTCGCTGATGCGGCCCAACCGGGGCATCATGTCCCTGTGCGCGCGAGGCCGCGGTGAGCGTAAGAAGAAAAACACGTGTGTTTCGTACATGATGACGCTGTGGGAGTCGGGGGAGGGGATGAAGTCGGCATCGAGGATCAGGGCGTGCTCGGTGCGGCACCGGGCCAGCGCGATGTTGCGCAGGGTGTTGACCGGGTAGAGCCCCAGCGTCTTGTACGCGTAGTTCCTCTACGCGCGACGCAATGAAATCGATCGAGGTAAGTCAGTCATGAGCAGGTGCGAACATGTAGGCACCTGCTCGAGGTCTCGAGACGGCAGTACCTCGCTGATGACCAGATGGAAGTCGATGTTGTCGGCGAGCTTGTCCCACGTCGACCGGAAGTAGAGGACCTCGTCCACCTCGGCCTCGTCCATCACAAACACCGCCGCCGAAATGGGACCTTCACGATGACCACATCGTTAGTCAAGCCAGGCCTCTCTTTCTCTGTTCTTCGGCTGATGTTGTGACGTCGCACCGTCCCAGTTCTGGGCCATCATGCGCAGCGAGGGCAACCGGTCGATCGTGAGCTGCGTCGCAATCGACACTCCCTTCGGGTCCTGCGAGCTCGAGCACGTCAGCGTTCGTTGGCTGTAGGCCAGGAGGAGGCAATCAACAATCGGTACCGGGGAGAGGGCAGAGCGGACGGTGTATCGGTTGGGACAGCATCCGTGCCGCACGGGGGTGTCGGCTCGCTCGACCCGGCACCCCTCAAAGCCCGGCTCTGAGCCCAAGGACATGAAAAGGTGAGCATGTTGAGCAGCGAATAGCAGAAGAAAGATAGCGGCGGGTGGCCGCACCGATGATTGTCGTGGCGGCCAGGAAGAGGTCGTCGAACCAGACCGTGCCGGCGTGGTCCAGAAACAGGATAAATATATTTACAGACATCACGTCCTGTCCCACCACACCACCATCGTTGAGTCGCGCAACGCAACGCGCACGCACACGCACACACGCACACACGCACACACGCACACACGCACACACGCACACACGCGCACGCCTAAGCACCCGCGGAAGAGTACCTTTTCGGTTTCGATGACCATGCACTCCTTTTCCCAACGGTGGTCTTCGGTCCGCCACGTCATCTTGTGGCCGTAGGAGTGCGAGCCGTCGGCGAACTTGATCTGCAGGCCGATGCCGTAGCCCCCGTCCCGCTTGCCGCTCACGTCCTTGGCCGCACTCCAGGCCGAGAGCAGCAGATACCTCTTGGTCGTCGCCCCTCCGAGCTCCGCCTCATCTCCCTCTTCATCGTGGTCGCTGTCTTCGTTCTCTTCACCGCCTTGCCTCGTGGTTTGGGCTGTGGTGGCATTGATGAGAACGAACTGCGACGCGCCGTACTTGTAGTTAGCCTTGTCCGGCGACTTGAAGCACATCGACGAGGTGCCGGTCATCGCCCTGTCTGTACACAGCTCTGTTGATTGCCACACACACACACACACACACACACACACACACACACACACACACACACACAACACACACACACACAACACACACACAGGTTAGGATTGATGGGCAGTGCGAAGCGAAAAAAGAGCGGCGCAGACCGATGGGGGTCATCATGGAGTGCCAGTAGGCCGGGAAGGAGTTGGGGTCGATCTTCATGTAGTTCGGGTCGAAGTACTTGACGTAGTGCTGGGGGCCGCGGTCCTCGAAGGACGGGTTGGCCACCAGGTTGTGCGCGCCGCGCGTGGTCAGTCTCCGCCCGCACGCGCGCATGGTCTTCTCCCTGCTCTCCTCGCTGCGGCGGCACAGCAGGCTGAACCGGTACTCCGTCACGGGCTTCAGGACCCGCAACTCTGCGTGCGTGTCCACGCCCTCGTAGACCTTGTAGAGAGCGATCAGTAGCGCACGGCACGATCGCCGCACACGCACACGCTCGTACCAACTGTGTCCGTGCGGTGCCGTGGGTCGGCTTGGCCTTGAGCTCGCACCACAGGGCCTCGGTGCTATGGTGCTGCCAATGCACCACCACCGACGTGGCGTTGATGCTGGCAAAGTAGGGACACGGCGAGCGAGGCAGAGCCGCGTCGGCCGACTTCTTCGCACCTCCTCCCTTGCTCGAAGGCCTCTTCACCTCCTCGTCTGTCTTTCGAGTGCCGGTGGTGGTGAGCTGCGGCTCATCATCTTCACCAGCGGACTCCTGCCTGGCCGCCCAGTTCTGGAACCAGTCGTCCGCCCTCTTCGCTCCGTCGACGCCTCGCTCGCTGGCCGCCTTCTTGCCCCAGGGGCTGACCTCTGTTGGTGGCATCACCAACCGCTCCCCTTCTTCTTCTCGTGAGCTCTGTACGCTGCGTACGAGGCTCACCTCGACTGAACCACCGTCGCCATCTGCCCCACCGCCGGTGCCCTGCCACAGCACCAGCCCAACGAAGCCGCAGATGAGCAGCACCAGCGAACCCACCAGCGCCAGACGCAACCCGAGCGACAAGCACCAGCCGCAGGCGCTGCCCTTGTGCCGACGCGCCTCGAACAGCGGCAGCGCTGGCGAGGCTCGCCCATGAGGCCGCTTGAGCATCCTCTCCCTCTCCTCCTCTACTCGAACGAAGGGGCGTGGCCTCTCTGGGATGCGCTCGAATTGTGCTGCTTTCTGCGTACAAAAAAGGCAAAATGTAAATAAAAATTGAGAAATTTATTTGTTTGAAGCACAACAAATAAATAATAACAAAATTACAAAGAAGACTTGTTCGGTTATTTACGTGTTTTGCTGGTGGAAGGGAATAAATAAGAGTTGTGTGTGTGTGACGAAGTACGAGCTCGCTATCTCTCTTTCGCGTCTCTGCTTTAGACCAGCTGCACGTAGTTGGCCGGGATGAGACCGCGCCTGCCGTTGAGCTCGGCCTCCCACCAGTCGCCGTTCTTGCTGATGATGTTGAGCACCTGGCCGGGCTGGAAGCCCAGCTCGGTCGGGGCCTCCGGGTTGAACGCGTACAGAGCGCGGGCCTGCTCTCCGGGCCTCCTCGGGGGAGCGGGTCCGGGCCTGCCGGGCATGGGAGGGGCACCACCCTGGGGAGGCGCGAAGCCCTGCTGCGGGGGAGGGGCGCCATAGCCAGGCTGGCCGCCGTAGCCGCTCTGAGGGGCACCGTAGCCGGGCTGGCCGCCATAGCCGCTCTGCGGGGCGCCGTAGCCGGGCTGGCCACCGTAGGCGGGGGGCTGACCGCCGTAGCCGCTCTGAGGGGCAGAGGCATACGAGGGTGGTTGCTGGTAGGAAGGCGTGTGGTCGACGCGGCTCGTGCCGGTGGCCTTCTTGTGCGACTCGTAGGTCTTCAACGCGGAGGACTCCTCGTCATCGAGGATGACCACGCGGTGGTGGTGAGCAGCCTTGGGGTCGATGTGCTGCACCATGGGCACCAGCGAGGTGGTGATGGCAGCCACCTCCTGATAGTACCTAGCGGCCGCTTGGATGATCTGACAAACGTACACGTGCAGTGTAAGAATACGCCGACGAGGTGAACGTGTGAACGCGAAGAAGGTGAACCGCGTACAGTGGAGAAGCACGGATCGAAGAAGGTGTTCCTGTCGGCGCACAGCCTCTGGATGTCCCTGATGAGCTCGGTGTTCAGCTCCTCGTAGGCGGCCTTCCACATGTTGTAGTTGGCCTCGGCCTGCAGGAGGCAGAAGAAAAAAAAGGGGGTGAGAGAATAAATAAAGTGTCTGGAGATTCTAGTAGAAGCATTGAAAGAATGAGAATCACGAACCTGTGTGAGCTTCTCCGGCTTTTCGGGAGGGTGGGCGAGGAACTTCCTCACCTTGCCCCTGAAACGATCCATCTCAAGTCGTCGGCGCGACCTCTCGTTGATTCGGTTCTCCATCGTCCTGTACTGGCCGAGGTAGGCATCGACGGGGGCGACGATATCAACGCGAAGAGTCTCATCCTGAAAATTGAACGAGCGAAGTGAGATGTAGAGCAACGCAGGAAATGGGATATTTAAATTCAAGAAAAACGCTGCATTACGTACCAGGGCCTGTCGGGCCTTGTCGATGTCACCGACGGTAAGGAGGTAACGCTGGTTGCACTCCCAGAGGGCGCTGCCAGAATCGTAGAAGCAGCCCGTGCTCGTACCCAGGGAGCTGTGAGCATCAGAAATGGCTGCAGAGGGCAAAATGATGAGGTGTAAGGCTTTACATCCGAAGATGGGCGCAGATAGGAAAGAAGCACGTACCTCGAAGGCTCTTAGTGTAGTCGCTGAGGTCCTTGCTCATCTTCTTGAGCTGCTTGTAGTAGAGGTCGAACTTGGCGTGCTCCTGGTTGAAGCCGACATCGACCGTCTCCTCGGCCTTGCCCACCTTCTCCTTCACCTTCTGGGTGGTTCTGTTGGTCACCGCCGTAAGACCCTTGAAACCGAACTTGGGCTTGCTCGTCATCTTCTACTTTTTCTTTCCCTACAAGAGATGAAAGAAACACTCTGCGGTGTGGTTGCGTGGAGGGGGTAGTGAGGAGAGTGAGTCGCGTGGGGCTCGCTTCAGCCGGCTGTGAGGGTTGTTGGGGCAATGCCGTTCAAACCAACAGCTCAGAGCTGACGGGGTGTCTAATAAGGCAGTTTGAGGCCACCGAAGTGCGAGGCCTTGCGGGGTAGCGTACCGGTGTTTGTGTTGTGTGGAAGAGATGTTCGAAGCTTGTCGATCGTGCGTGGTCCTTCTAAACTCCCGTAGCAGAAGCCCCGCTGTCCTCGCAATCTCGTAAATTAACCCTCGCCCCCGGATTTATCTCCCTTCCGCCTTCTTCTCGTAATTTGTGAACAATGCTCGCGCTAGCCACCCCAACAATCCACGAATATTTGTACTAATACCGCCGTACCAAATTCTGGGAAAGAAATAAAGATGTGTTTTGTCTCCGACAAACTGCCCGTTGCGCGCTCTCACGGCACCTACGACCAGAGGGCGACGTCGGTGTTCTCGCCCCGGAAGGCTGTGATGAGCTGACTCGTGGAGGGGCACCATGTGCTGCACGCGATCATGTAGGGATGCTTCTCGTCCATTTCGGCTGCCAACAAACATGTCATCAGCAACCGAAAAACATCACGCACACGGCACACGCACACACCACGCGGTACCGCACGACACACTGATGGTCGGGCAAGTGTACCTGATACCAGCTTGCCCGAGGCAGTCTCCCACACGTTGACGGCACCTGTGGCCGAGCCGGCGATGACGTATTTGCCTCCGCCCGAGAAGCAGGCCTTGTTCCAGTCGCAGTTGTTTCGGTACTTCTCCGATCTAAGGACACAGAGATAACGATCGATCACACTCGTGGGTGAGCCCGCAGAACGGCGTCCATCATACTACTGCTTCTCTTGTGCCGCTGCTTGTTCGCGGGGCTACGTACGTGTAGGATTGGAGCTGTTTGAGGTTGGCCCGAATGTCAAGCATCTTGAGACTGCTGTCTCTCGAGTTGGACAGAATCGAGCTTCCATCTGGTGTGGCGTATGACTCTGGTTAGCATTGAAGGGCCTGCTAAGGTGGCGAGCATAGCAGGGAGGGCTACCCGGGCTCAGCGTGACGGAAGTCAAGCTGGCTTCGTGCGGCTGGGCGCTCTCGACCAAGGCACCGGTCCGCATGTCGTACGTGCGCACAGTCTTGTCGTAGTGGCCTGAGCCGAGGAGGCCACGGCCGAGGGCAGCAACGTCCATCACCTTGGAGGCGCACATGATTGTTCGCACGCCTACATTGCACGTTTCACAATCACGGGTTGAAGGGGGTGAGCGGTCAGTCACAAGGAAGAACATAGCAAGATGTAATCGAGGCCGCGCGTACATATGCCCTTCTCGACGTCCCACAGTTTGATGCATCGATCGCTCGAACCGGAGATGATTTGGCGCGAGTCGAAGGTGAACTGGGCAGAGACCACGGGACCCTTGTGCCCGAGCAAGTTGTTCTGTTTGGCAAAAAGAAGGAGGAGGAGGAGAAGAAACGAAATGATTGCTCAGACCACGTCGACATGCACGCGATCAAGAGGAAGGAGAGCAACGCACCGCAATACGGTCCTGCGCGTAGCTCAGCACATAGATATTGTTGTCTGCCGAGGCACCCAGCACCAGGGCGTTGTTGTGCGTGAAATCCGCGCACGTAATCGCACGCCTGGCTACTCGCAGCGTCTTCAAGCGAGCCACTGCGAGCGGCACACCACACAAGAAGCCACTAGCGTCAGGCAAACGTGTTCACACACGGCGGATGTGTGCAGGGCCAGGGTCCTCTCGGTACGCACTTGAAAGGGTGTCCCAGATGATGATGTTGCCTTCCACGCCGCTCGTAGCGAACATCGACCCCTGGCTGCTGTGTTGGATATGATTCACCTCGCCGCCAGCGTCCTGGGTGACCGAACTCCAAGTCAGCACTTGCGTGGCGGAAAGGGACCGCACCGAGTTCAAGGGAAGGGCAAAGATCGAGGGGCGGGGCGTGTATACAATCCTGCGGACGAGCTTCTTCGGGACCGTGTCGTCGGACATCAGGCTGGTGAAGCCCTCCTCCTCGCGGGCCTCGTCCTCCGTCCCCGTCGGCTCCTCCTCCTCCTCCCCCTTGAGCTTGCCCACAATACTCGAGAAGAACCCACTCACGTCTGTGTACGACGGAGAAAGAGAGACGGAGGGCGGTGCGCTGGTGGTGAGCCATGACTGTCATGCCACAGAAACGGCGTTCGATGGAAGGAGATCGGGAGGAGTCGGTACTCGATTGGAACTTGGCAAAGTCGTCTTTCTCCCCTCCCCGCGTCTGGACACTTCCCTGGCTCTCCCGCTAGCCATGGCGCGCACACCCGTCGATGTCAGTCAGTCTCGGGGAATGAGTGCGGTTGTATGATGGGAGTGGAAGGGTACCCTCTTGAAATGGGTCTCCTTCACCTTGCTCAGCATCTCGAGCAGTCGCTCCTGTTCCATGTTCAAGTTGTTGATTAGCCCGGCATTCTTCGTCATCTCCTGCTGAAACCTGCGTGCGGAACAACAGAGAGAGACCAGCGTGTGTCCGGGTGTGAGGTCGCGCCAAGAACCAAAAGAATGAACCAAACGAACGAACGAACGAACAAACGAACGACCAAAGAAAAGAACAGAAGGGGTCCCCACCTTTCCTCCATCGCTTTCATCTGGCCGAGATCCTTCTTCATGGCGGCGATTTCCAGTTCCTTGGCCGCTAATCGGCTCTCGAAGCTGTCTCTTTGCCCCTGGGCGTCGAAAGAGAAAGAGAAAGAGAAAGAGAGTGAGCCGCTGGCACGATCCACAAAGAGCAGCGCTCAACACGTACCTTGAGCTGCTCCACCTCGGCCTTGAGCAGTTCCGCGATCTGCTTCGTGTCGTCCAGCTCTTTGCACACACTCTCGTGCGCATCGGAAAGCTCTCTGTGGCTGTTGGCGGACAGCCGACAACAGGTGTTCGCATGTCAGCAGCAAGTTTGCAGCTTGCTGTTGAGGCGAGCCGACGAGTGGTGGCGCCACGGGTGTATTGTACCTGTCGGTCTTCTGTTCGATTTCCTTGAGCGCCGCAGTCTTCTGCTGCATGATGTCGAAGAGGGACTTGGCCTGCTCCGCGTTCTGTCTGTAGCTCTCGTTCAACTCCTTTTCCTTTTCCCTGAGAGCGTAGTGGAGAAGACCTAGAGTAAGCACACGGGCGCGGACACGATCGCGTGAAGAAGAAGAAGAAGAGTAGTTGTAGTAGTTGTAGTTGTACTTGAGCTTCTCTTGTAGCGCAGTGATTTCGTTCTCGCGTGCCTTGACCTTCTCGTCCAGGTCTACGATGCGGTCACTGCACGAACGAAGAACACATCAACATTTGTCAACGTCCACAAGGCCTGGAAGGACCAGACAGCAGATGGGGAGAGCGTACTCTTTGTGCTTTTCCCTCTCCTTGCTGAACTCCTGGACCGTTTGCTTCAGCTCCCACACCTCTCGTCTGAGCTTGCTGTTGTGCGAACTCAGCGCGTTGCCTGCAGGCAGCACCCACCATCATCAACACCATTCGAATCCATTCGGGTTTCGTGGAGGCGGTGGTGCTATTAAATTGGCAAGAATGGTGCTCGTGGTCAAGAAATTAATGGAGAGACGCGTACATCTTGTAAAGAGCACAGAGTAGGGGGCCTTCTGTTCTCTGTCTCGTTCCTGGAGGAGGTGCAGAATGGTCTTTCTGTAATCTGGGAGCTGCAGATTCTGCTTTTGATATTCTACTTCCATGTTGGCAGGCTTACGCTCGGATCCGCAGCGCTCCCTCTGCGCAAATCTCAAGATATTGTGTTCTGTGATTTTGTGGCCACAGATGAATGGAGAAGTCCAGAAGTACTGTTGTCCACAACAAATAGGAATTTTCTGTGTGGCTTTGGTGCGCGCGTCACGTTCATGTGGGGTGTGAGTGCGTGTGCGGTGTGCACCGGAAGGTTTCATTTGTGTTATGATGTTCGCCATCACAATCATCATTGCTTCACTCGGCCATGCGATCACCGTGCGCGTTCTCCACGGGCACGGCCTTGTGGCGAGGCACCGCGTCACCATTCGGCACGCCTCCTTTGCTGTGGTGCTGCTGGTGCTCACCACGACCGTAGAAGTGCTGCTTGCCGCCGTTCTCGTGCTCTCGCTTCTCGCGCGCCTCTTTCTCCTCGCTGGCCTTCATCGCCCGCGTCAGCTCCTCCATTTCCACGGCGTCGCCGTTGCCGCTGCCGTTGCCGCTTCGTTCGTGGTCGCCCGACGTCCCGTTCTGCGCGGCGGGCTGGATGTTGAGGTTCTTGTAGTAGGCCGCCCGCTTGGACGCCGACATGGTCGCCGGAAACGAGGGCGAGGTTGAGGGAGACGCCGATGGCGACGGCGATGAGGCGGCCGACGACGAGCGCGCCAGACGCCCGGAGGCGGAGGTGGACAGAGACGACGAGGGAGAGCGGGAGGAGGAGAGCGCGGAGGAGGAGGAGGGCGAGGTGATGGGCGAGAGCGGCCGTGAGCCGGAGCGGATGGGTCGAGCCGCCGACGAGGACGACGAGGGCGACTTGGTGGTGGACGACGACCGCGATCGCGGGATGGCGTATAGGTCGATCGTGGGTCGCAGCAGGGCCGGCCCGCCACCATACCTGAAGTACCGGTCAACGATCATTAATGGGCTCGGCCAGTTTGAAGAGCAGAAAGAAAATCGCCTGGAAAGCGCCTTTACCTTGCGTGGAAGAAGTCCCACACTTCCTTGACGACGCCGCGATAGTGGATCGAACACTTGAGCTTGGGTTTGGGCTTGCCGTTGGGCTATGGCACGACACGCGCACACCGCACACGACAGGTAAGCGGCGGGGAGGGGACGAGAAGCGGGCCAAGGGAGAGGCAGAGGCCTATCTATACCTGAAGGAGGCACCAGTTGTCGATGGGTCCCGGTGGCGGCATGGTCCGGCTCTTGCTGAAATCGGCCCAGCTCTGCAGCCATGACGCGCTGATGAGATACCACATCTCGCCCGCCACGACGAAGGTGCGGTCGATATCGTTGATGTGCTTGCTCTCCTCTCTCCGTCGCGCCTGGAGCAGCTCCTCCTCCACCTTGCACTCCCGGCACTCCCCGAACTGGGACTCGCAGACCGGAGGACCTCCGCCGTAGAGGTTCATGAACTCGGTCCACACCTCCTCCGGCACCTGGCAGCGCTAATGAGCAACACACACGCACACACACACGACACGCACACAAAACGAGCGTACAGTGCCAAGGTTTCTGTTGATCGCCGCTTGCGTGAGGCTGAATTCGGGCTTCACTCGGCGGTGCGAGCACAGATATCTGGAAAATGCAGGTGGTGAGGCTCCTCCGGAACTTTGAATATGAGGGGAGCGTAGAGCAAGGCGCGCGTACTTGGCATTGTTGATTCGACCGGGCGAGGAGGTGCACTGCCACCGTGTCAGCCACTCCTGGCACACAAAATATTTCTTCCGCTTGACCACACCTGGCGCGCAACAAGAAGACGTACGAAGGTCAGGGCACGCCACGACACGACACACGCACACGGGGCCGGACGCGTACCGTTTTTCTCGATGTGCATGGGATCGGCGGCGGAGCCGTTCTCCAGCACCTCGTCGCTACAGTCTCCGTCGGCGACGACGGCGTGCTCCCTCTCCTCCTCTTCGTGGAACGCGGCAATTGCCGAGAGCAGCTGCTTCCTCTCGTATTCCTTCTCCGGCGATTGTCGCAGATAGAACAACACGTAGGCCTGCGCGCGTGCACACAATTTTGTTTGATGGTATCGTTTACCAGATGCGTCGTGTATGTGTGTGTGTGTGCGTGTGTGTGCGTGTGTGTGTGTGTGTGTGTGTGTGGTGGTGGTGGTGGTGTGAACGGATGTGCGACGTACCTCCTTGTTTCGCACGGTGTCTTCGGAAACGGCCGTGGCCCAGCTGTCGTCGAACTCGTACCACTTCCCGTCCTCGTCGTTCAGCGCGTAGGCGATGTAGTGCCCGCCAGAGATGCCGCCGATGTGATTCACCACCGACACGAGGTCATACTTCATCGAGACCTGCGGCGCATCGGCATCCTGCTCACAAAATCGGCTGTAAACGACACACGACACGACACGCACCACCGCACACGCAGCCGCGCCATCAGAATGTGCTCAACCACGGAGGGCGCAATGGCGCGTGTGGTGCGCGTCCGAACGGTACCTGATGTCCAGGTCACGCAGGGGGAACTGTACAACGTCGCTGAGCTTGCCCCCAAAATAGGAATCGTGTCGAAATCGCTTGATATGAATACACAAGAGCTGTGCCGTGCCCCCCACATGCACGTGTCAGTGCGCTGAGCTGGTGACGGTGGGGGGAATGGCGAGTAGCGGCGTATATATATATATCTGTACCTCGGGCGGCTGGGCAATTCGCAGAAACTTTTGGGAGTCGTTCAGCGTCTTGCAGTGCTCGCATCGATACCTGTCCGCCCCCATCAGCTCCTCCTTTGTACAAAACGCCTGCAGACAGTCCTCCAGCGTCACCGTGCGGTTCGAGAGCCTGTGCATCGCAACGTCAGCGACGGTGTGTCTGTGTGTCGTGCGTGTCGTGTCGTGTCGTGTCGTGTCGTGTGTGAGCGGGCAGGTAGACGTACATAAGCCAATTGGTCACTTTGGAAAATAGGCCTGGCGAGGGCCTCTTGGAATTGCTCAGCACGCCCTCGGCCTCGATCTCCTTGGTAACCTTGTCCAGCATCTTATCATCCGGAATCGGGATCGAGAGATCGTAGAAGGCGTCCTTCGTGGGCGATACCTGTTCGCTCTCGCGCGTAAGCCAAAAATAAATAAAACCTACAAAATAAACTCCAAACAAATAATAATAACGAAAGTGCGCCTTGGGCGATACCTTGCCACACTTGAGGCATTTGATCCTGCTCAGGAGGTAGCCCTGGAATATGCGCGACACGATGCTGGCGTAGTTGGGCGGTGGTGGCGGCGAGGGGGGGTGGCAGGCGCCACCGGTGTGGACTCCACGACGCCGTTCGAGTCGCTGTCGTGGCCTTGTGGCGGCTTGGTCTCTTTCTCCTTCTCGCCCGAGTCGGCGCTGCCACTGCTCGTCGGCGAGCTCTCGATTCGTGGGAGCTCCTCCTTGGTGTCTTCGTGGAGTCGGTCCAACAGGCATCGCATGAACTCCTGCGAATCCTATAGGAGGACAAGCACCACAGAGTCAGCTCCGTACGCCTCGTTGCGTGCGGTGCAAAAAAAGGGGGACTGGCTCTGGCCCAAGCTACGTACTTGCTGGGCGTATCCGCCAAACATCGGGTTGAAGCGACGGATCTCGCGCAACACCTCACCCGGACGCAGGGAAGAACTGCAACAGAACGAGCGTGCGTGAGACATCATCATCATCATCACACACACAAGAAAAGAGGAGTGCGCACTATCGTCCGCCCCACATGTCGTAGATCAGCTGCGTGAAGTGGAACACGAGCGGCGAGGTCTTCTTCCGGCCCTTGACCTGCCGTGCCATGTAGCGGAGAAAATAGGTCCGCAGCGGTGGACAGTTGGAGAGGCACTGCATCGCAGCGTTGGCGTAGCACGTGTTGCCCAGGTTGGCCAACCCGCACGCGCCTCGGGTGTGAGTGGAGGTGGAAAGCGCAGTGGCGGGTCTCGACGCGGGCACAGGGGAGGCGACGGGGATGGCGAGCGCTTCCCTCAGCTGCTCGACTGAACGCCGCGTCGTCTTTGCCATAGTCGGTATCTGATTACAAACAAAGAGACACAAGAATGAGCGAAAACAAGCTTTTGAAGCGTTCAAGAGTGGCCGCGGCGATCTCCTAAGATTGAGCGTGGCAAAAGGTGCGCACACGTACCGATCACTTCTTCGTCGCACGCATAACACCAGACCATCTTGGTGCGTAGGTTGATGCACACACAATGCTCCTCGCCCATGTTGCGCTGCACATGCGTGAACGTAGCGGCGGCGGGAGTGAGCGAAAAAAACCGATGATGCCAATTGATAGATGAGTGTGCGGTGCGGCTTAGACAAGCAGGCGCGCAAGTGGCGAGCGGAGGACGCACCTTCTTGGCCAGGTTGTAGTGAGCCATGAGGTGCTTGTTTTGGTCCCTGCCGCAGCCGATGAACGTGCAGTTGGCCTGCACCGAATGCGGCGCACTCGAATGTGTGAGCGGGTGGGAAAACTGAGGCCACCCCAGGAAAGAGTGACGTAGAGAGGGGGTGAAGAAGAGAGTCGTGCGCGGTACCCCAAGACAGGCCCACAAGTGGGGCAGGCCATGTGAGCATTGTGTCTCAGAGCATGTCAGCTTCTTGTTCTTCTTCAGTAGTGCCTGTAAAGCGCTTGTTAGCCCCGCGACTGGGGTGGTTGCTTGTAATTTGTGATTAATTGATTACCCATTAATTGGCGTGAGGAGCGCGAACCTGAATGTGCTTTTGATGGAAGGACTGGTGCACTTCAAGCACATGTCCGCATATCTTCCTCGTGGCAGCCATTTTGTGGATGCACGAGAGATGCAGCGTTCTCACTCCAATTGCGCGATGAAATAATTGGCCTTTTTTCGCCCCTGATTCGTAATTATTCCCACCAAGCTTTTGCGCGGCCTCTCCTTCTCTCGTTCTTCAAGTCCTCCCGTCTATCTTTTCTTGAATCGCGCACAGCAAGGTCGCTCGTCTCAATCGCCAGGTCGCTTTTCTTTTGATTCTCCCAGCACCACTTACATTTTGTGTGAATATTCTTTACATTCCATTGATGTGAAGGCCGTGTGTCGTGCGTGTCGTGCGCACTCAGGCCGCGTCGCTGGGAAGTTGGTTCCGCTTGAGGGCGCCATGCGCGGCGAGCAGCTCCGCCGAGGCCGGTTCGGCGGCCTTGTCCAAGGGCGTCTTTTCTGTAAGTGGCCGCGGCGTTGTTGTGTTGTGCCGTGAGCCAACCACGATGGCGGTACCGCACCAACAAGATTCAACGTACGTGCGCAGTCGATCACGTTGACTTCAGCCCCATGAGCAATGAGCATCTTGATTATGGGGGCGGCAGCTCCACGGTTCCAGTAATGTGCGGCCTGTCACGCGCATAAAAGAGCATCACGCGCGTCAGTACAAGAAGACGTGCATGTTGCATGCCAGTTGTTGTGCCGTACTTTGTGCAGCGCGGTCCAGCCCCATTCGTTCCTGGCGTTCACGTCGATCCCGTGAGCAAGCAGCACCCTGACCACCTGTTGGGGGGGGAAGTCCAGGCTAGTGAGTGTCGAGGCTTTGTTTGTTGGCCTCCACAGTGTGTGCGACACGTCATTCGCCTCACCTCGAGGTTGCCGGCCTCTGCCGCGCGGTGCAAGGGAGTCCTGCGCCACTTGTCCTCCACCACAGAGCGCTTTGTGGCGTTCATCAACTCGAAAATCTGTTGGTGCCGTTGGGCGGTTGTGAGCGAGGCGCGCGTGAGCAGCATTGTGTTCCGGTCGAATGAAACCTACCGTGCGTTTGATGCCGAGGACGTCCATTCGCCTGAGCACATCGTCGACCAGTCGGTGGTGCTTCTCGTGCATCGCCTGTGCAGGCACAGAGGCAACAATCAATCGTCGCTTAGAGCGTCCAACATGGCCGAGACCTGCGACGTACCCACACAAACTCTTCCATGAGCAACGCCGATTCGGCATCCCACTCGGCATACGACGACAGGTCCAGCTCCCTCTTTGCTGCTACAACTGCACCACCGCTGGCGTCGTACGGCTTGTCAGGCTGTGGGCTCTCGCCGTCGCTGCTGTTGTTCTCCTTGTTTGCTCCTCTCTTGGCGAGCTGCTCGGTGGTGAGCAGTAGCTTCGCCTGCAACTGCGCCACGGTCTTCTCGACCATGGGCCTGTAGTGGTCACCAGGCTCTGTCGCACCACCCACGGGCAAGTCCTCCCGCACTGGCGCACCCAGCCTATGTTCATACACCTGTCCAGGCCCCACGTCAGCAACTGGTGGCGTGGATGCACAAAATACTGGGGGGGGGCAAAATCTATATGAAAGAAGCTTGCTGTGCTGGAAGCCATGCAAGAGGAAGCTGGTACGAATCGCCAGAAGGACGGGCTGGAGGCCAGGGCCTGCCAGTCGCGGCAGACCAGGCTCACGCGCAGCAGATCTCGTAGAGGCAAGAACGACCACAGATGCTCCACCAGCTCAGGCGGCAGCGAACTCAGCTGTTGCTCCACCGCCTCACCAGGCGCCTTTTCACCGCCACAGCACTCCATCTTGCTCCTCCTCGCCAAGTTTGGTTGACTGGCGGTCGGTTTCGGGCTGGAACACCAAGGCGCCGCAGCAAAATTGCAAAGTGCACAAATCATTGAGGAATCAAAAAGAAAAGAAAAAAGGGCAGGGGGAAAACACCTGTGGGGCTTGGCGCAGTGGCACTGTACTGCACAGGACCTGTAACAGGAGGGCAGGGAGGCCACTGACCAAAGACCTAGGAGTTCTGATGCTGCAATACCCTCTCCACCTAAACTTGTCTAGTGCCTAGACAAGACAACTTTTTGACTGCTGAACCACCAACTGCCAGTACCTGTTGAGCAGGTTTAACCTTGTATACCACTGCAAGCCATAAGGAATAAACCAAACCTTGCAACAGGACTGGCTGTGGGAGCTGTGTGCACTACAGTACAGCAATTTCAAATTTGTTGTGCCTGCCAAGAATTGCACAGGTCAATGGGAGTTTGGGTTCCTGAAGCACACAGGCCACAGGCAGCAACAACCACGACTTGGTCGGGGTGGAGCTTGAGGATTGATCAGCCCAGGCGATCGATCCTGCGAGCGGTGTGGATGCACGAGGCGGGCAGAAGGGGAAAGCAGGATGGACGGGGCGGCGTTGGTGTAATGAGCCGGGGAACGTGCAACTGGCCTCTGCGCATCATCAACGCCACAAGCATCCTCCAACTCCTTCTCCTGCTCATCCTCTCATCTCTGGCATGCTTCAGCGGGGGTGTCGCCACACGATCTTTCCTACTCCCCCGCCAGGTACCCTTCGTTCTTTTCCATCGCCCCCCCACCCACAAATCTGCCGGGAGAAAAAGACCCGCGGGATGCGCTCCGCAAGCTTCGAGGCTCGAGGCATTCTTGCTTCTGTGCTGGCGACTTCCTGCTTCGCAAGCTTTTTCATTTTGTGTTGGAGATTAGATTGGGTCACTGATTATTTAATAATTTTATTATTCGCACCGAACCATGACGATAGGCCACGAACGCGACCTCGCCCGGCACTTGCGTGTACGTGGCGGACGCGCTCTCGGCCACCAAGGGCATCATCTACGCGTACGACACGAACGGCGCGGTGGTGTTCTCCCTCAACGTCAGCACCACGCCCTCCGCCCTGGCCATCGACCACGCCCGCCAGCGCCTCTACGCCGCCATCGCCACCAACCTCCTCGCGTACTGACCCCTAGGGCCACATCTTTTTTTATTTTTTTTTGTTTCATCTTTTTTTTGTGCTGACGCCTTGTGGGGGGGGGGGTAACAGGCTGGACATTTCGCAGGAGCTCGAGTCCGTTCAGACGGCGTGCTCCTGCTCGACGTCCTACTTCACACTCACGAGCACCGTGACGTACGACCGCACCACGTTCGCACTGCACCACGATGATTCTGGTGCGCATAGCTAACAAGTTTCTTGAATGCGGTGGAATGCAGAGGCGTGGCGGTCGATGAGACGAGCGGCACGGTGTATTTCGCGTACGGCAGCTCCCTCTGCTACGTGGACCTGCAGGCGAGCTACCCCGAATGCAGGACCTACTCCACCCCGTTCGACAGCTTTGGCGCGCTCACCATCTCCCAAGGTATTCGCACACGCACCACCGCACACGTACACGCACGACACACGACACTCACGCTCTTTGATCGACTCAGAGCGTCGCGAGTTGTACGTCTTGGGTTCGTCGTGGCGGCGCATCTACCGCTTCTCACTGGCGACAGGCGGCTTCCCTACGCAGCTCTCCACATTCCAGCCCCCATCAGGCCTACAGCCGCTCTGGGGTACAACCGCACGCACGCAGCGCGCATGCTTCACACGCGAGGCTGCTCACACTCACCGCGTTGGGTCCACGGCAGGCATCACAATGCGGCAAGGCAACATATTGGTGGGCGCTGATCCGGTCGACCTCAGCATCGCCTTCCCCGAGTTGCTCCTTCTGGACCCGGCGACGGGCAATCTTCTGGCCACCCTCTCCGATCTCTACCTCGACGAGTACTCCAACCTGGTCAACGACAACGAGACCGGCCGAGTCTACCACGTCATCAAATCCGGCACTCTTTTCGTTCGTCTTTCTCCTCTTCGTGTCGTGTGTTGTGGTGTGTGTGTGTGTGTGTGTGTGTCGTGTGTTGAATGTCAGCTGATTCTTCGTTACGCATTACAGCCCAACTACACGGTGCGGAGCTTCAATCTGAACCAGCTGGGCAGCGTACTGACCCGGGCCGACACAACCACCTTCATCCCGGCCGGCGTACTGCGAGAGCCTACGGCGCTCGCCGTGGGCCGCTGCCCCTACATCGCGCCGTCGCCGTCGCCTTCGGTCACCCCTTCGGCCTCGCCGTCGGTCATTCCGCTCAGCGACTCGGGCGCCGACCTCATACCGCTCACCGTCGTCCTGCCCACCGTGGTCGGCTCCGTGATGGCCTGCTGCGCCTGCGGCGTGGTCGTGGCCGCGATGCTGATCATCATCGCCCGCCGGCGACGCCGGTGGTTCGAGAGCGACGTCGACCGCGGGGCGGCGGGCGAGGGCGACGTGGAGTTAGCGGCCACCAAGTTCACCTATCGCGAGATCGACTCCCGCGAGCTCAAGCTGGGCCGGCTGTTGGGCCAAGGCGCCTTCGGCAAGGTCTACAAGGGCGAATACAGGTAATTGGATTGCATTCTCCGAATTGCTGACGTATCACCCGACCTAACCAACGCACGCACACGCACCCACGCACACACGCATGTACCAGGGGTGCGGTGGTGGCGGTGAAGATGTTCGAGGGAGTTAGGCTCGAGCAAGCGGACAATCGTTTGCTGCGAGAGCTACGGAGCGAAGCCCAGATGATGGAGGTCCTGTCGAATCACCCCAACATCGTCAAGTTCGTGGGCGCCATCACACAGGGTACCTTGTTATTTTTATTATTATCATTATCATTATTTTATTATAATGTTTTTTTCATTATCATTTTAACACACGGTGCGCACATGCAGCCGCTTCGCTTGACGACAGCTTCGCCCTGGTGCTCGAGTACTGTCCTCGGGGCTCCCTCTACGATCTCTTGGTACGCCATCGTCACGAGAATGTCAAATGGTGATGCGCTCTCGCCCTCACTCTCCTCCCTCGGTGTGAACAGGTGAAAAAGAAGAAGAAGCTGCCGCTAATCACGTTGGTGCGGATGGCACGTGACGCGGCCTTCGGCATACTTCACCTTCACAAGGTTTTCACCACTCGCCGGTCTGCCACTGTGCCACCAGATCTCTCATCGACAACTTAATTGTCATTCACAGGAAAAGGTCATCCACCGCGACATAGCGGCGCGCAACATGTTGGTCGGCCAGAACTACGGTACTGCCAGGGCTCTGGCCCACCTCCTTCGGCCTGCATTGGCTCACCTCCGATTCTTTGCCGTGTTTCAGAGGTGTACGTGTCGGACTTTGGGTTGGCGCGGGTCAAGGAGTCAGAGGAGGAGGCCGGCACCACCAACCAGAGCTTCGGCCCCGTCGGCGTACGCCCCGTCTCCCTCCCCACCACCCACTCAAAACAAGACACGACACGACACGACACGCACCACAGCACGCCACCCACGCCGCCTGTGTGCGATAGCCTCAACGTTTGCTCTACGTGATTTGTCATTAGTGGATGGCGCCCGAAGCGCTGCAGAGCCGCCAGTACAGCGAGGGCACCGACGCCTTTTCGTTCGGCGTCATGTTGTGGTACCCTGCAACTTCTTCTTCTTCCATTGAAGAAAGCTTCAACGCCACTCACTGATACGTCGTTCACGTTGGGTGGTCATCACAGGGAGATGATGGCGCGCAGGCGGCCGTGGGCGGGCGTCGAGGTCGCTCAGATAGTGACGGCCTTGGTGTCCAACACCCGCCTGAAGATTCCCAGCGACTGTGACCCGGTCTTCCGGCGTTTGATGAAACAATGCTGGCGCCAAAACCCGGCCCATCGGTACTCGCACGTTCTCGCTGCGCTTCACACCAATTCCGTTTTCTATTTTATACATATTAATATATCATTTACTATAATTATTATTATTTTAAATAAAAGCAGTATCATGATTAAATAATTGGTTGGAATTCTTGATGCTAATATAGTGCGATGGATTGGCAGGCCATCGTTCGACAAGATCGTGATCACGTTGAGCGAGTACTACCACACGCTGAAGAAGATCCAGGACGTCGACACCGAATGCCCCGAGCTGTCGGAGGAGAGCGAAGAAGGTGCGGACCGACCTCTTTATGTTTGTTTTTATTTTTGTTTGTTTTTGTTTTGTTTTTCAACTTGGCATGGGCGCTGCCTCACACGGCGCTTTGGCAGACGTCACGGATGAGGGCAGGAGCGATGTCAGCTTCGCCTCGTGGGAACAGAAGCGGATGAAGGACGACATCAGGTCCTTCCTCAAGCAGATCCTCCTCGAGGTGCGCCTCTCTAGGCTTCTTCCCCCCCCCAACGTGCTCGTACTTTGCTTTGCCGCCACTCACCTGCAAGCACCGCGCACGTCGGCAGCGGGGAGAGGAGGATTTCTCGCACGTCGAGCGCGCCTATGTGGCAGCGCTGCAGGACCTGCGTCGACACTACGCGCCGGACACCGCCGGGGACACGTTTCCCGTCATCACCGCCGGCAATCCATGTTCGTATTTTCCCACGCACCTTCACCCGCCGTCACACGCGCTCAGACGACACGCAACACTCAACACGCATTGAATTCCTGACATTCTGGCGTTGTGCGACTGCAGTCGGCCAGCAGTCGGGCTTGCTGGAGTCGGGGCCGTCCAACGCGTACATGTCGATCATCAGCCGCAAGGACCCGCCAGCGCTGCTGAAGGGCGGCGGCGGGCAGCCCTTTGTGGCGGCGGACGACGATGGCGAGACCACGGGCGCGGAGAGCGCCGGCGGCAGCTCGGTGGTCTACCACTCGGCGCGGGTCGTCAAGCGGCCCAAGGTGCAGGGTCAGCCCGCCAGCGCCGCCGACGACGATGCCTGGCTCTCGCCCTACGCCTTCCCCGTGCTCGACGGGGCCGGAGGGGTGAGCCGCCCGGCCAAGGCCAATCAGCCACAGCCGCAGCCCAAGGGTCAGCACAAGCGGAACAATAAGGGCAAGAAGAACGTCAAGTGGCCCGACGACGATGACGATGACGCGGGGATGAAGGAGGAAGAGGAGCGCGAGGAGGATGACGTCGGCAGCAACAGGAACCTGAAGGCGATGCCGCAGCTGCAGCAGTCAGCGAAGAGCGACAAGAAGAACAAGACCTCATCGGCCAAGCCGCCGGCCCTGCCCGCGTTCGTGAGCTACGCATCGCTGCTGCCGCCGTCGTCGTCGTCATCGGGAGGAGAAAGCGCTGCGTCGATCGCGCCCGGAACGTCGCCGGCGTCAGCGCATCGCCAACTGCCCAAGACGCCCCCGCCCAAACGGCCGCCGCGCACAAACGACGCGGCGGACGAGAGCGGTGACGGCTACGCGTCCGTCGAGCTCCGTGCAACAGCGCGAACGGGGCGCACATCTGCTGGAGTGTCCGCGGTGGCAGTACCCGAGCGCTCGCGTGCGCCGCCACGGCCGCCACGAAAGCCCACAGCAGCCCAGGCGGACAGCGATTTATATTGCGAGGTCGCCCTGTGAGCCACCAGTTGTCAACGTTGTGCGCGTGCCCGGCACTGTCACCCACATTGTAAAGAACCATTTATTTATTATCTCTCGCTGTCGTTCCTCTTAGGCGACGCAACACGTGCGAGTACTTCATTAAGAACGTTGAGGGGAGATCCAATCGAACTCCGTCAACGGTTTCCCTGACCAATATAAAGTCCGCGTAAAGTGGCCAATCACACATGGGCCTGCGTGGCTCTGAAGTTAAAAATTCGGAACGGTGCCTAAACGTGGCCTCGTTCCGCCGAAACTGGACACTTTCTTTTCACTTCACGACCAAGACCCTCACGACCAGGGCTTCACCTCCGCTCCCTGCGACCGGCCGAAGACGTCAGGCGATTCACTGCCTTCTGTACACAACGGAGAGGAAGAAGGCCATCAAGTGATTGTCACATAGACCATCACGGGAGGAGTGGGTAAGGTTCTTTTACACGGCTGGTTCCGGTCACGCGAGCTGTGGCCTTGGGCGTCGAGCAGGAAACAGGAGAACGAAGCAACTTGACAGACCTTGAGCGGCGACCAGAGAGTCTCGGCTGAGCCGCTTTTGGGCCGGTTAGCCCAATTATTTCATAAACGAGAAGGAGCTGAAGAAGAGGCAAGACCACCTGTGCCGACGCCCACCTGCACCTCACACGACCATCGCGCCATCGACAGCCTAGGCCACGGGGGGCGAATCTCTGCTTGAACGCTCGGACGTGCGAGGTACCTCAGACAGTGTTCCAATCTGGTACTTTTCTGTTTCTCTACATTCCTGCACACACCTCAAATCGCCACAATCTCGTCCTTTTGTTGGCTCTGCCCACCACCCACCTTCGCTACTCCTTTGCACGTCGTTAGACCACCTCGCGTTTCTGTCACCACACGAGCTTCTTGCCACATTTCGTCGCCACCCACCACAACAATAGTTCTGGGTAAATTCTTATTATTCTGAATTGTACCACCCTGCAGAAGGCAGCGACTGCCACGTAGACCATCGAGCCATCCGACTCACATCAACTCTGCTGGCCCCAAAAGCGAGCCACGCGGGTTCGATCGAGTCGAAGGATCGGCGAGATCGAACGAACGGTGCAGCAAGATCGAAGCGATAATGCGAAACAAGAAATCCATGGACGACGATTTTAGCGGCATGCGGCGGGCGGCGATCGTGCCATCGGTCGACTCGTACAACTTCGATGGCGGCAGGAACGTCGAAGGTCTCAGCTCGTCCCAGCCGCAGCCATTCGACATCTACTTCTACAAATCGGACGACGCGGCTGGCCTGGGCAATCGCAACGTGCTCCACGATCAGCAGGGTAGGCCGGGCACGCCCATTACGCGCTACACAAATCTCGACATCATCACGGCCAATGGAGACACCCTCACCGACCAGACCGTAGTGCTGCTGGAGACCCTGGGCGAGGGCACCTTCGCCGACTGCTACAAGGCCGAGTACAACGGGCGCATCGTCGCCGTGAAGATCCTCAAGGCCTTCCTGCACTCATCGAAGCAGCGCGAGGCCTTCGACCGCGAGCTGCACGCCCTGCGTCGCACCGCCGACAGCAAGCTCACGCTCGACCTCATCGGCTACCGCCCGCAGCCCCACTACTGGCTCATCACGTCCTACATGAACGAGGGCACCCTCCACTCCCGCATCAAGGCCGCCGAGGGCCGACCCCTCCCCCTGCGCGAGGTGCTCGACATCGGCGTTCAGATCTCGGCCGCCATGCAGTACCTCCACGCCCATCTCCTCATGCACCGCGACCTCACGCCCTTCAACCTGCTCTTCCACGAGGGCTCCCTGCGCCTGGCCGACTTTGGCGTCACGGTCGACCTCGCCAACCTCGGCGGCGGACCCGACGCCACCGTGCCCGCATCGCCGCCACTGCTCAGCAGCAGCGTGGCCCACCACTCGTCGTCGCCGTTCTCCTTCGCCGTGCCCTCGTTCCTCTCCCCACCGGCCGCGCTCCCCGAGCAGTACGACAGCGGCTACCTGATGTCGTCTCAGATCGTGCCGACAACGCACCCGCTGGGCTTCCGGGGCTTCAGCAGTGTCGGTGCCTTCGGTGGAGGCGACAGCGACAGCGACGAGATGGCGCTCGACGAGGAGGTCTCCACCACGGAAGACGACGAAGGGTTCGACGGCGAGTGCGTGGAAATGGGGGACACCGGCGAGGCCAACTACGACCTGGCCTACGACATGTCGCCCAACGGACATCCCTACTACCGTGCGCCTGGTTCGTCTTTCTCTTCTTCTTCCTCATCATCATCTTCTTCTTGTTGTATTGTCGCTCACGTTACGTTGTGGTGGTCTTGCTGTGCAGAGGTGAACGAGGGCCGGGCCTACTCGCTGGCGGCGGAGGTATTCAATTTTGGGTCGGTGCTCTACGAGTGCATGACCGGGACCGTGCTCACGGCGCAGGCGCCCCTGGCCGTGGTCGCCACGGGCCTGCGACGAAGCGCCGAGCGCGAGCGACGAGGCAACGGCTTCCCCGACGAGCTGTGGCGACTCCAGACGGCGTGCTGGGACCGAGACCCGAGGAAGAGACCTTCCTTCGACGCCATTTTGCAGCGGCTGACTGCGCTTCGCGCCAGGCTGCCCTGAGCCACCACCGACCAAGACTACGACCACGACGACGAAGATATCGAGATCAACCCCACCCGCCTGCCTCGACGATGAAGAAGGCGACGCGACACAAGCGAGAGGAGGAGATGCGACGTTCGACGGCGCCTCTCGTCCGCTCGGCCCGTCCGGGCGTGTACAGAAGGAGGAGGACGACTACACCGTCCGTCTGTCGTTTGTAATTTGTTTTTGAGCTTCCCTCTGTGTAACATAATGTAAACACACACCAACGCTTTTTACCCGCCTTTATCTCTTCTTCCTCCCGTTGCTGTACAGGTAATCCCTTCTTGGCTTCCCTTGTTGACCTCTAGCCACCACGACTTCATCATCGACCATGGTTCTCCACGTCTCGCCAGTTTAAAATGCCACTTGACGTCTTTGCCGTGTACAGCAGTCAGCAGATCTGTAGAGATCTCCGTGGGTCGTTGTGGAGGAAGAAGAAAGGTGGTCGTACGGGCCGGTCAGTAGTTGTCACGCAGGGAAGCGCCGCCACGCTCGCGGCCCTCCAAGTGACCGGAATCGGAGTAATGACGACGGTGGCGGTGGTGCGACGACGATGAAGAAGAGGACGAATACGACGACGACGACGAACTACGCCGGTCTTCGTGGCGGTGGTGCTGCTCGCGCCGCTCCCGATCCTGCGCCCGTCGCTCCCGATCTGTACACAGTAGCAAACACACAGTTGGCGACAACGATGATGAGTGCCGATGCACGCAACACGCAACACGCGGGTAAAAGGGTTGTACCCTGCGCTCGTAGGATGCCGCCGATGTGTGGCGCGAAGCCGGAACTGTACTGACCGGCGCCCGCGTTGACGGCCGGCGTCGGGACGCCCTGGCTGTTGCCGAACAGCAGCTGCCGCGTCTGTGTGGACAGGTGACGTCAGCGGTGTTGGTTAAGGTGGCGGGCAGAGTGTGTGTACCTTGCCCTTGGCTTCGGCTTCGCGTCTCATCCGCTCTGCGCGGAGCTGCAGGAGCTTCAGCTTCTTGGCCTCCGCGGCGCCATCATCATCATCATCGCTCGAGCTGCTGTCGCTGTCGCTGTCCGAAGACGACGACGACTCGTGCTTCCTGCTCTTCCGTCGCTTCTTCTTCTCCTCCCGCTTCTTCCTCCTCTTCTTTTCCTTCTTCTTGTCTTTCTTGTCTTTCTTTTCTTTCTTCTCCTTCGTGTCGGCGCTGCCGGTGGTCGAGAGCGTGGTCGAAGAAGCGGCGGTGATGGTCGTCGTCGTGGTGGCTGCGGACATCTGGGCCGCTATCTTCATGCTCCGGGCCAGCATCGCTGGCGTCCCGGTCGAGCCATTGGCGTGCATCGCTTGGATCTGTGGAGAGCAAAGCCCAATCCAGTACCAGCATGTCAACACAACACACACAACACGCAACACACACAACACACACACACCACACACACACACACGGCAACGAGCGACGTACGGATTCGATTTGCTTCTTTCGCTGGAGGAAGACGCCCATGGCGGACAGGGGGTCCTTCTCGGCCTTGAACCGCTGCTGCTTGCGCTCCTTCTCGGGCGGAAGCGCCGGGGTCTCCACGGGCGGGCCGTAGTACCACGGCTTCACCTCTGCGCGTGCGCGCCCACCCAAGTCAACATCAGGTCAGCCTCGCCCATACGTGTCGTGTTTCGTGCGCGTGTGCGGTGGTGCGTGTGCGTGTGCCATGGCCGGAAAATGTACTCTGTGTCTCGGCTGCGCTCTGCCCGAGGTAGGTTGTGTAGAACCGTGCATCACGATCCGCCTGCGCCTTCTTCTCGGCCTCGTGCTCGGGATTTCGCTGCGCGGTACCAACCAGCGATTCAGATATGAGTGACTGCGCGTGTGCGTGTGCGTGTGCGTGTGCGTGTGCGTGTGCGGTGATGCGTGTGCGTTGGCGCGTGTGCGTGAATACCGTGTCCTCGGCACGCTGTTGGAGTTCAAGGTCCTCAAAAAAGTTGACGTGCTTGAGGGGTTCTTCTGCTGCTGCCACCACCGCCACTTCCTGCTCTTGCTCGCGCTCGTGCTTCACCGCCACCGCTTTGCCGCGTCGTCGTTCACCAGGGCCGGTCACCAGAGCTCTCTCACCCTCTGCTCAGACACACGACACACACACGACACACACACACACACAGGAAAGCACACCGCGTGCGTTGGTGTCGTGTGTCGTGTCATGTGTCGTGCGAGCACGCGTTGGTGCATACCTTCTTGCTTGACTATGACCAAAGAGGAGGGTCCGCTGTCGTCATCCACAGGTTCGCCCTTGAGCCGCTTGTTCCGCTCTCGCAGCGCTTCAAGCCGCCGCTCTTGCTCCTGCGTGGGCAGCGAAGACCAGATTAAATAAGAAAAGATATATAAATATAATTATTTATTTATTGTAGAAGAGAAATAAAAGTAGAAGCAAGATGTGGGAGGGATGTACGATGTCCAGCTCACGCTTGCGCTTGCGGTCCTCCTGCTTGCGGTGCTCCTCCTGATCCTTGCGCACCTTCTCGATGTTCTTTTGTGTCCATACGTGCCAACTCTTGTGCTGCAAAATGTTTAAACTCATCTCACGGCCACTCTGCCCACAACGCTTCTTCTCTCTTTCTTGATCAAGGCCAATTCAAAATCAAAACCACTCGGCCATTTCTTTGCTTTTTCTTGTGCTCTTTCATTTCCCACCACTGGTGAACAGTTGTTGGATACGGCCATACTGCGCAGAAAGCACCGCTTCCCATCCGAACAGCGAAGTTAAGCTGCGCCAGGCGGTGTTAGTACTGGGGTGGGCGACCACCCGGGAATCCACCGTGCCGTATCCTTTTGGTCTGCACAGCGCGCACTCACCATGATGCTGGCTCCTGCCCTCTTCTTCCTTTATAGGGGGGAGGGCACGTGAGCTCATGTACATATAGGTATGATGACATGCAACAATTCCACTCCTCAAACATCACCACCACACCACAGAGTTTGTTGCTACTCTGGTGGATGATGATCATCTTGCTGTCATAGTTCTTGTGGCCTATGACTTGAATTTTTAGGAATTTCACTCCATCCAGTGATTAGCTGAGTGGGTCGCCCAAGGTTCTCCTTCACCCTCGAGCTCGGCTTCGACCACACCATCACCCACAAGATCGGCCTCAACCACCCTGTCACTGGTCGTCCAGCACTTCGCCATCTGCCTCCTTCACCTCTTCTTCCTCACTCATGGCCACGAGGTCGCCCTCGCCCACTTCCACTAACCCTTGTCACAGGCGCACATGATAACAACAGACTCCTGCACAAACATCTGGCAAAGCAACCCAGAAGCCACTCCCCTCCCCTGTCGCAATCCTGCAGCCACACAACCCAACAACCAATGGAGAGGCAATCTAGTACGAATTGGTGGGCAGTTGGTGCCACAACCAGCACCAACACAGACAAGAGTGGGGCGACGGACCGGTGGTTATGGAGTGCAGAGAGAGAGAGGCCCACGAAGTCCTGCTGTGCAGCTGCCAAATCCGCCCAGCATTCCAGCGTCGTGGTCCGACTTCGGTGATAAGCCTAATGCGCCGCACACCACATCACCACACCGCACCCACACGCACACGCACAGCTGTTTCTTTTTATCTTCCTCGCCGTGGACGATCCACCACACCAACACGACTCGCCCATTCAGTTCAGATGTTGTAACTTGTACCGCTAAGTAATGGTGAAGGGAAGTATAATTATAAGAGAAAGAGAAGAAGGAGAAGAATGGTATACACAGGGATGGTGCAGCTCGAGTGGGTGTGGTGCGGTACTCGTGGCGCACGCACCAGCTGGAGAGGTGCGAGCGCCGGGCTTCTTCGAGCGAACGACCGTGGGCGACTCGCATCAAGCGTCAACGGCGTGTGCCTCACCGCCGTCACCTTCACCGACGATGTGGCCTGCTTTGGCGTCACGCAGGAGGAGGTCACACTCGTCGAAAAACGCGCAGGCTGGACTCGCTGCTGTACAGGCCCGGCTGGCCCTCGCCGGCCGGGAGCGGGATGAAGTGGCCGGCCGGCAGGGACGACGGGGGCAGGGACGAGGTGGGCATGCTCGGTGGCGGGTGGGCCGTGTGGAGGTTGGGCGACGACGGATTGCGGCCGATCCCGAGGCCGACGATCTTTCTCGTCTTCATCTCCTCCTTCACCTGCTCGTGCTCCTTCTCCTCATCTGATCTGCATCCCCGACAGGTGAGTTTCGACATACACGCGCACATCACCGCACATACGCCACCGC